GATTTTGTTACAAAAATGCCTGTGTTTTAAGCAATTTCAGATTCGAATGTAGTTTTTTCTCCCTTCTACTTAGAATTTTGCTGCTTTTTTGTTTAGAGTTGAAAGTTAGCCCACTTTTCTGAAAGCTTTGAAAAACAATGAAAGACTAAATGGTAACCATCTTCTTATATACAGCTCTTCTTTTTCTCTTTATTCTTTTACTTCCCAAATCGATACCCCTTGGTTTATTCCCACTTTATGATAGGTATCTATTACATGTTATTTATCGAAAAAGAAGAAGAGGAAGATCTTTGAAACATAGTCACGATCGTTTACATAAATGCAAATAAAAAAGGTTATCTTTTCGTATGCAATGTGATACCGACAATTAAGTCGCAAAAAAGAATCAAACATAACTGGACCCCAAATGGAATGGGATGGGGTGAAGTTCTTGTTCCATGGGATCTTGTTCTTTTTGTCGCATAAAAAAACACTGATTCTCTTTCAATAAAGTATACATTCAAAATAGCTTTTAAGGACGATCAATCTTAGTAGGTATTATCCTTTCATTGTTGGTCTTTTAGTTCAACACAAAAGGTACTATTTCCTACTTTCTTGTTGTATTGTTTTATGGAAAGAAAAACTTTCAACATTTATACGGAAATTTAAACAATGAAACCCAAAATTGATTTTGTAGGTGTGCTAGATGATGATAGATACAGACAAACGTCATACGTTACTTTTCTCTGAATCAAATTTAGAGTGCACACAGACAACCATTTTGTAAGACTCTCGACTAAAATCAAGGGAAAAAACGAAAGACTATATAGAACGCATCACGAAAATGCATAGATCTGTGCATCCAGTACACGAAATTAATCCATGTAGCCATGTAGTTTTAAGCATGTTGCAGTTATACTCCTGACTCTTAAACTACATAGAACGTGTAATTTTAACAGCTGCTTGAATATAAAAAGGTATTTATCTTAGTCGAGCATATCTATTTTATTGCATTCATCCTTGGCTACTCTTGATTTCAAAAAAAAACACGTTGCAATACTATCAACATGCGTTTTACTCTGTTTCTCATTGCCTTTACGTTAACTGTTCAAGAATGTGAGTCAACTAAAGATTGTAAATACAAAGATGGTCTATTTGGTCGTATTGATTTGACATCTGTTGGCTTAAAAAATACACCAGCATTTAGAAATTTACCATCAACTGGTCAACCAGACATATATTTTTATTCGTAATAATCGGTCATCGTCTCTGAGTTTAAAATCACTATTAATATATCGGTTTCTATTATAGGTACAATCCGTGCTATCCTTTTAATGAAGCATCATGTAGTGATGTAGCAGGATGTCAGAGTAAGTAATTGATGGACTTTGTTCCGTTGTGAAACGAGTCTTTCTTTACAAACTCGTTTTTTCGTAGTGTTTGATTATAGACAACGGGAACTGAAATGTCAGTTGCTTACTATTTGCTAACTGTTGCTAAATATGCAACTAACGCTAGGATGCAATAGTAAGGCAAGCTTCCTAGAGTCAGTTTTTATCAAACTTTTGCTTCAGATAAGGTTGTGGTGGTTTACCATATCTCGTTTTCTCCATCGCTCGTATATTATACATATATACATTGCGCACTACCAGTCAGTATGATACATTTCTTCTTCCTCATATTGATATCAATCCGAAATTGAAAAATTTTCGGAACAAAATAACAAGAGAACGTAACAAAAATGTGTAACATACGTACGCTTATTTTTCGAAAACATTATGGATTTTAGTGTTTGGCTTCAACAGACATCGAGTTTTTTGATAAAATAACTTTTATGTTTCCAGGTTGAGAGAAAGTGAAAAGTAAAGCCAGTTGCAGCTTCAGAGCAGATTCCTAGATCACAGCTATAGTAACGAACTTTTAGTCAAATAACATAAACGGTGATAACGATCTAGAAAGAAAATGCCTTCCCTTCAGTATGTAAATTGAAATGTATTTACAAACTCAAAAACTAAAAACAGTAGTGAACATAAACTGTATGTAAGATTAAGGAAATTCATACTTTCAGCACTCTATCTTTTTTCGATTTTTATATATGGTCCGATAGAGCTCGTCGAGCTGCATCCGAATATGTGCGTTTTAAGGTTTCGGAAAAACAACAACTCCACCTTCAACTATTTTTAATGTTCTGTGATGATCTGTTACAGCGCTACGTCCTCTGAAACTGGAGACCCACCGAAGTTTCATTTAGTCCTTGATTTTTCAGCCATTGTGGTGCACAAAACCTTAGAAATAGTTGAAGGTGGTGCAAAATTGGTTATTCTATCTATTTAGATCGTATTGAAATGACTTTGAGTAGAAAAAGATTTCAAAAAGTTTTTTGGAGACCTGAATTTCCAGAAATCCTCTGAAAACCCTGTCAAAGTTTTCTCATTAAACCCATCTATCTATAAATCCAAAGTTCCATTGACTTTGAGGGAAAACTGAGTGCTTTATTGCGAAATGAGCTTCCCGATTTGAGGCAAAATGCACAGATTCCACCAAAAATGCATTATCTCAAGAACGAAAAGAAACCTAGAAAAAAGGTTAACTTTAAAGGTTAACTTAAAAAGGTTAAACCTAACTTTTTTCTTGATGTTATGACTAGTATAATCACGTAAAAATATTGACTTCAACCCAAATCTATAAAGACTTGTTGTAATGTTTTTGGCGAACGAAAGAGTAACTTTCCCTCTATCTGCGGCTTTTAATTTTTTTTTCGTCAAATAATGCCTGTGTACTATTGAAAATAAGCTTTTTAGATGCAGTCTGATGGAGTTTTCGAGGTAGAAAACGAAAGAAGTTGCTTTAAACTTCCCAGAAATGATTAAGATAGAGATTTTCAATTATTTTCAAAAATTAATGTACTGTGATTATCAGTAATTTAGACAGTTGGCAAAAAGTTAGGAACTAATAATTAATGTAGATTAAACAGTAACTTAAGGCGGGGTTCACCCATATAAATTTAGCTCAAACTTTGTCCGTTTGCAGAGGACACCTTAAAACATATACTTAGGGTCATCCAAAAGTAGTGGTGGGGGTACTTTATTTCCGTGTAGAAAACTTGAAAAA